ATTGATTAATATTATGGATTTAATTGTCCTTGGATTTCTGACGTATATAATTAATGCCTGTACGTTCAGTTTCAACGTAATTTTAATTTTCCTTATCATTTCAAAGTAAATTTGTTTATAATTTCCTAAGAAGTTACAAACGTAAGAAATGGTCATGTTTTGAGATTGTTAAATGCATTATATTTATTAAAGGAATCAAGAAATAAAAAAAAAAAAAAAAAAAAAAAGAATACAATAAAACTCTACCAAAAAAATAGCTTAATTTATGCATGATTGATTTTAAAGCTAAAATTTACTTTAGGGATTTATTTTGATAATACACAACTAGACATTAAATACCTTTTAAGGATTTTTTTATTGTAGATTTCTGAACAAGAGAAGAAAAGTAGATTACAGATAGGGAGAATAATCGGCAAAGTGTCAAGACAGCAGTATACATAGGAGTATAGGGAACAATGGTATGCAGTAAGACAGTAGTATACATAGGAGTATAGGGAACAATGGTATGCAGTAAGACAGCAGTATACATAGGAGTATAGGGAACAATGTATGCAGTAAGACAGCAGTATACATAGGAGTATAGGGAACAATGGTATGCAGTAAGACAGTAGTATACATAGGAGTATAGGGAACAATGGTATACAGTAAGACAGCAGTAAACATAGGAGTATAGGGAACAATGGTATGCAGTAAGACAGTAGTATACATAGGAGTATAGGGAACAATGGTATGCAGTAAGACAGCAGTATACATAGGAGTATAGGGAACAATGGTATGCAGTAAGACAGTAGTATACATAGGAGTATACGGAACAATGGTATGCAGCTAGATGAAAGCGTAGTCTATACAGCGGTATGAGACAAGGTCAAAGCCTTGTCTTTACAGTCATATACCACGGGATCAGCGATATGCTGAAAGATCACAGCGTGGTTTATGAAATATGGAGATAACGAACAGTATCCGAGCTTAAAAGTCCATTGAAACAATAAAATCAGGAGCAGAGCAAACGCAGACCTCAAAAAAATTAGAGATGGGATCAGGCGCCAGTCTCACGAGTGAAATAAATTCCATATCCAACTACAAAACATTGAATTTTCTGTATTTACCTTTTCTTAGATTTTCCCTTTGCCTTTGTCTTTTCTTTACACAGTGTCATATATATATATATATATATATATATATATATATATATATATATATATATATATATATATATATATATATATATATATATATATATATATATATATATATATATATATATATATATTGCAAATATTGTAATTTAAGTTTATAATGGTAATGGTGAGGACATGAAAATGGCTTCATTTATTAAGCCAGGAATCTAAGTTTAAACCACACGAACACGAACTCCTCGATCCATATCAATTGTATTTCAGGGTTTTTATAAATTGCGCAGCACTGTTTAAGGCGTACTACGAAGAAATCAACGGAATAAAAACGTGTTGAAATACATACCTTATAAAACTGAATTTATTTATGTAAAGCTACTATATACATGTATCATCACATGACTTTAATATTAAAGGAAATAACATTGTTTAACTAGCGACAAAAATGAATGAAGTGGTTAGTTTTGATGTAGTTCATTTCATGTATGCAGTTTAAAATCGCAAATTATTTAATTTTCTATTATTGTGAGGATTGCCATATTTGTGGGATTTCACAGTAAATATTTCCCGTATAAATTAGGCCCCGCCCCCTTTATGCAGCCTTAACATAGCTGCATGGTGATAATGTTTGTTAGTACTTAACATGTTCTGATCTTTTATTGAAAGCTGTGAGTGCATGGTGAACAAAGTAGTGCAGATCGTAATGTGTGCGTTAATAGACTTAAAAGAAATTAATAAATCATACAGGTACAATGTGTATGCAAATACCTCACTACTGAATCTTAAATAATATTTTGAATATTCATATTACTCTCAATTATAATGAAGTGAGAGAAAACTTCAAAATCATATATGAATAGTACATGTATATATAACCATGAAAAAAAACCCTTCAAATCGCATGTTCCTCGGGTTTTTCAACAATTTAGATCTGACCTTGTGTTCTAAACTGTCTTCTCTTTCCTTTTTCATTTCCAAATATTATGGAAATTAAAATATTACTTTAGATTTAAAAAGTATAGGCTTTTCCAAGAAAAACAATACCAAACTTCCATTATTTCATAAACATTAAAAAAGTTTTAAAAAAAAAAAAAAAAAAAAAAAAAAAAGATTTGTAAAGAATGAAATTATATTTTCAAGGTGTGGATCAAAGTGATTAGAAGTATCCCTAATCTTTCTGTATTGTTAAAATAAAATATGGCCCATATTTTTGATTTAACTCAACTTTTACACATTTTTCATGTTGCATGTAATCAAAAATCACATTTAAGCTTTGCCAGAAAAGAAAAAAATACCAAGATTTCTTCAAATGAATGGAGTTTGTACCTACAGGTAAAAGTCATCTGCCCCATTGCTCTAAATGGCTGGTGCAAATTAAGGTCGTGTTACATGGACATTATTATTAATTTAACTTTGTCACACCAAATGAGGATGAGAAATATACTTTTTTACTATGTAAGGTATGTGACAAATACTTTATTTTTATTCAATTTTTTTTTTTTATGATTTCCATATACAGACATTCTTTAAAATATCTAAGCAAAAACAATTATATTGTGCATTTTCACAGAACCCGAATGATAGGGACATAGTACTTTATCAAAGAGTACCTACTTATTATTTAGTCCGGAAGAAATATTCCATATTCATGGAATGGTAGTCCTCGAATAGTCCAATATGATTCAATATAAAGGTTGCAAATCGGCTTTATCGTACATGGTCAGTGTTTCCTGAAGGTGGAAACTTTATGATTTAATATTTAAAACGATTTACATGTCACGTTTTATAATTAACTATTTAGAATTTCACACATTTCACAAGTCACATAAATAAGATATTTTCCTTCGGAAATTGTCAATAACTACTTTAATTATATTGATCTATGAAAATAAATGACTGATGTAATTTTTAATGCGATTGCCCAAAGGTGCAAGTATATTAATTGATATTTCCTTTTTTAAAGAATATTTTTCTTATTCAAACTTCCATAGAAAGCATTTCATTTTAATTGATTTTACAGAATGGATGATTGCTAACATGTAAGATATGAGAATTCAAAAATTAATTAAGAAAAAAAAAATCATTGATAGACACACAGAATAACAACTGAAGTATCTATTTTCTGCTTGATTTTCCCTTTGTGACACAAAGTTTTTAATTTCATAAAGGAAAACTACAAATGTTTTTTTTTTCCTGCTGCTCCAATTCTAGACATAGAAAAATGTCAGCAAAATGTTTAAAACTGTTTACAACACATTCCTATAAACTTGTTTCTGAAATTGTAATTAATTTGATATAATCACAAAATATTTCAGTTTTAGATCATAAATTTTACTGATCAATATTTTATTTCAAAATTACTCTTCAAAAAATAGGTTTTCTATAATCGGATTTATGCAGTGAATACGTTATAAATCCATTTATCACAGCGAACCACGTGGAATGATGCGCGCGCAATATCTGCGCCAAGTATCGAAACAGTCAATTATCAACCATACTACAAAGATACACGTTTTTGGGTGTGCTGCAAACTTTTTAGAAATTTTTTCAAATAATTTTCCGGAGAGATGCCTAAACGAAAGTCAAATACAACTGCAGTTACAGCCGCCAAAAAGTCTTCCAGAAAAGAGACAGCTACCACCAAGGCCCCACAAAAGGAGGGAGTAAAAGAAAGTAGTACCAGTTCATGTGAAGGGATGCCCAGCAATGAGGAAGACATCGCTGCCACTATCAGCTCAGTAGGTACGTCAGCTTACTTGCCTACACCTATTGTTAGCGTAACAGATTCATTGGGTTACAACATCTCTCCAAAAACACGGGAAAAAATACAAAATGGGGAGTATTTAGATCTGGGTGTTTTATTGGAATCATCAGATGAAAGGGATAAGAAAAACAAGCTCAATTTAGTGGACGGGGAACTCGTCCTTCAACAGGGGAAAAGTGGGAAAATCACCGACATTGGGAAATGGACTGATGCGTTTCTTGTTTTTACTAGTGTTTACGTTGAAGCACACCCCGATCAATCACTTGGTTTACTTAAATATATGCACACGGTTAGACTGGGTTCTTATAGATCTCCCACGGGCTGGAAATTGTATGATGAACAATTTAGGCTTAAGAAGGCAAGAAATAGTTCTCTGGCATGGGGGGAAATTGACAATGAACTTTGGATGTTATACGTAACTTCTCCGCTAATCAATCCCCCAAAAGCAGTTGAACCGTCGAAGGGCATGTGTTTTGATTTCAACTACAAGGGTGCATGCAGTAAACCCTATTGTATTTATGCACATTGCTGTATCAAATGTTCATCTGAGCACCCAATGTTCACTTGTCCTCGCAATTCAGCTCTACGCTCTTCTGTACAAAAGCAGCCTTTTCGTTTTCAATCACAAAATCAGCAACCACGCCCAGGACAAATCCCAAAATATAGATTTCGCTACCCCCAGGGGGCTAATGCACCTCGGTCATTCTCCAGTAGACATTAATCAACTTTCAATATTGATACAGTCGTATCCAAACCACAAATTAGGTAATGAGTTGTTAAATGGGTTTAAATTTGGATTTTCGCTTCAGTATTTAGGTCCGCGTAATTACTTGGAGTGTAAAAATTTAATTTCGGCAAACCAGTACCCAAACGAAATTCATAGTATATTGCAAAGTGAAGTGGATATGGGTCGCATGGCTGGCCCTTTCCATCACCTACCACTCTCAAACCTGAGGGTGTCTCCAATAGGCGTCGTTCCTAAATCTAGCGGGGGGTGGCGTTTAATTACTCATCTGTCATATCCACATAACAATAGCGTCAACGACTTTATAGATAAAGAACTTTCATCCGTACACTACTCTTCATTCGACAGCGCTATCGAAATGATAAGTCAGCTCGGTAAAGGAGCTTTATTGGGCAAAATGGACATAAAAAGCGCCTTTCGACTATTACCAATAAAACCAAATGATTTTTGCCTACTCGGCTTCAAATTTGAAGGTAAATACTACATTGACAAATGTTTACCATTTGGTTGTTCTATATCATGCGCTACATTTGAGAAATTTGCTTCATTTTTGGAATGGGCCGTCAGGTCACAGTTTGGTTTCGCGCATGTTACGCATTATCTTGATGACTTTTTGTTTGCTGGTTCAGCTAATTCCGACGATTGCTTACGACTCATGAGACAATTTGGCGATTTATGTAAAGCTTTGGGAATTCCTCTTGCCATCGATAAAACTGTTGGCCCTGTCACAAAGTTAACCTATCTGGGATTGAAAATTGACACATGTCTGGGGCAAGTACGCATTCCAAACGATAAGCTAATTAAGCTTAAGATTTCGCTGACAGAAATGACAAATAAATCTAAAGTCACTTTGAAGGAGATGCAATCTCTGGTAGGTCAATTAAACTTTTGCACCAAAGCCGTGCGGTCTTCCCGCGCCTTCAATCGGCGTTTCTATGATGCTATGATTGGTGTGCAAAGGCAACATCATTTTATCCGCATTACAAAATCCATTAAAGACGATTTGCTCATGTGGCTTAATTTCTTGAATCACTTCAATGGCATATGCTATTTAAATGATGTTGATTGGTTAAGCAGTGATATTCTTCAATTGTATACAGACAGTGCTGGGGGTAAGAACCTGGGGTGCGGGGCGTACTTAAACGGCAAATGGGCCCACTTCGCTTGGCCCTCAACATGGGGGGAAACGGAAACTTTGAGGGACGTTACCTTTTTAGAGCTGGTCCCAATAGTTCTAGCAATGACATTGTGGGGAAAATACTTCAGATCAAAAAATGTTATATTAAGAGTAGATAACGCAGCCCTCGTATTCATCTTGAACAAACAGACGTCAAAATCTAAAAGAGTAATGCATTTCGTTCGTTATTTAGTATATCTCTCAATGAAATATAATTTTAGATTTAAAGCGAAACACATCCCAGGCTTATATAATAATATTGCTGATGCTTTATCTCGTCGACAGTGGACCAAATTCCGGGAACTAGCCCCAAAGGCAGATGTAAAACCAACCCCGATTCCACCGGTATTTCACTCACTGATATCAGGAGCGAAACCGTTAGATTAATAGACATGGCCACCTCAGACAATACTAAAGCGGCATACAACAACGGCTACGATTTATTTTGTAAGTTCAGGTCCGAGTTTCACCCCCGTAACTCTTGGCCACCATCGCTGGAGGAATTGACAAACTTTGTCGCTTTCCTTTCCGTCAAAGGTTACGCAGTTAGCACTGTCAAAACATATCTAGCAGCTATATCGCATAAGATTAAGATTTCCACCTCAGAATTACCGGATTATACTTCACATTTTATTATTCGAAAAATGCTAGAGGGAATGAAGAGAGAAAGACACTCCAAAGATACACGGTTACCAATAACGATTCAACTCCTCTACAAATTAATTAATACATTACCCATTGTATGCACATCGAGTTACGAGGCGAGCCTATTTTCCGCGGCTTTTTCGTTGGCCTTTTTTGGTTTTCTTCGAGTCGGGGAATTTACAGTAGGCCCTAGAAATTCAAACACAGCATTACTTAAGAACGATCTCATTATACACGAGTCTTCATCTTACTTAGAAGTTAACCTTAGGAGGTCAAAGACTGACCAGTACGGCAAAGGAACACAGTTAATTATCCCCGCTATCGGCGGTCCATATTGTCCGTTATTACTCATGCAGCATTATTTACAACAAAGACCGAATATTTCTGGTCAATTATTTTGTCATTTCGGTGGTAAACCGCTAACTAGATATCAGTTTAATTCAATCTTAACTAAATGCCTCTCGCGTCTCAGTATATCTGGATGCAACTATAAATCACATTCCTTTAGAATTGGAGCAGCTACATACTTCCATTCTCAGGGCGTTGATGACGAAATAATTAGATTGTTAGGAAGGTGGAAGTCAGATTGTTATCGCTTATATATTAGGATCCCGGCAGTCAAATAGAATGACAGCTTGAAATCAGATCTTTTTCGTTACAGAACATTATCAAGATATTTGGATCATCGGTTCATCATTAATTTCATGGGCCTTTTTAGCTGCGATTGAGTTAGGATTCACATCTGACCTTAATCTCGACAGGCATAATATACTGTGGCAAGGTCGAAGAGGAATGTGCTGGAGTGGTGTTCTTAAATTGTTAAAACATTTACTTGCATTTATCGATCCACCAAAATTTTTGGTATTACATTGTGGAGCAAATGACCTTGGCCGTATGAAGACCATTGAATTGATAGTTGCAATAAAAGGTGATTTGAAAAAGATTCAAAAGCTCCTCCCGAACACTAAGATAATTTGGTCGCAAATGATAACTAGGATTGCTTGGAAATGTGAAGGGAGGCCCGACCTCGAAAGAGGTCGGGCGCGAGTAAATAGTGCAATTGCCAAACATATTTTAACCCATTATAACGGAGGGTACATTAAGCAGTCAAATATCCATCTCAGTCTCGACAATTACCGCCCCGACGGGATACACCTCTCTATGTCTGGTAATAAACTGTTCCTTGAAAATTTTAAAAGTGGGCTTACATCTATAATAAACTGCAACAATAATGTGTATTCTTTATGATTGGTATATTGGAGCGGTCACGGCTGGATTTGCGAGTAGGGTGTTAAGCTACCCCCACTATTGTGGCGGCGTGCATATTACATGAGTATTTATGCACGTTTGGCGGATTTAGCTTAACACAAATCATCTTGACTCGCGCCGCTGTTAACAGGGCGCAGATGTAACATGATTACGTTGATAATTCTGGAATCGAACACAATGAACTTGTACATAATTAACATTGAACATTGATGATTTATTCAAATATTGCTTGGCTTAAACATGAGCTTACTACAATCCATTGAGTTGAATGAACTGAATATTGATTTATTGAACATTGATATGAATTGAACATTTATTGATTGAATTGAATATTGATTGATTGAATTGAACATTGATTGATTGAATTGAACCTTGATTGATTGAATTGATTATTGATTGATTGAATTGAACATTAATTGATTGAATTGAATATTGATTGATTGAATTGAACATTGATTGATTGATTGAATTCAATTTCGATTGATGAAATTGAATATTGATTTATTGATGCATAAGGCTGGCGCACCTGCAGAATTTGGAAGAAACGCCAGTCTTATCGTTTAAAACTTTGACATGTGTACGGTTAATATTGATTGATTGATTGTTTGTTTGCTTTGATTGGAGGTGTGCCAAAAACCAATTGGGTCGGCACCCACTGTACACATGTATTTTAAATAATTTGATCTGAACCAGCCGTGGCCAATAAATGCCAAACTTTAGAAATAAATAGTTAGGAAACAATAAATTCACTTTTGGTTTTTATAGGTAGTCTGTGATAATCGGATTTATGCAGTGAATACGTTATAAATCCATTTATCACAGCGAACCACGTGGAATGATGCGCGCGCAATATCTGCGCCAAGTATCGAAACAGTCAATTATCAACCATACTACAAAGATACACGTTTTTGGGTGTGCTGCAAACTTTTTAGAAATTTTTTCAAATACCCACCCTTCCCAATCCCTATTTCTTAAACTTATTTTCTGTGCCTCGAGTTTTTCATTTCAGGAAAGCTACTCAAGGAGTGGAGCCATGAATCATTCTTAGACGTCGCCGTTGCCATGTTCGACCTCCCCCTTTTTTCCAACAGTGTTACACGCCTTTGTGATGGACAGTATCAAGTGCCATTAGGAGGGATTTTGCTTATCCAATCATATTGACACGCGCTGCTGTTAACAGGGCGTAGCTGTTATATGATTGCTATCAATCAATTCTAGTCAACCTCATCGTCACGGCTGGCCCTATCTATGCTTCTGTAAATAACATTGCCAAGAGCCAAGTGCCGGATGGGCGGATTTAGCTTAACACAAATCATCTTGACTCGCGCCGCTGTTAACAGGGCGCAGATGTAACATGATTACGTTGATAATTCTGGAATCGAACACAATGAACTTGTACATAATTAACATTGAACATTGATGATTTATTCAAATATTGCTTGGCTTAAACATGAGCTTACTACAATCCATTGAGTTGAATGAACTGAATATTGATTTATTGAATTGATATGAATTGAACATTTATTGATTGAATTGAATATTGATTGATTGAATTGAACATTGATTGATTGAATTGAACCTTGATTGATTGAATTGATTATTGATTGATTGAATTGAACATTAATTGATTGAATTGAATATTGATTGATTGAATTGAACATTGATTGATTGATTGAATTCAATTTCGATTGATGAAATTGAATATTGATTTATTGATGCATAAGGCTGGCGCACCTGCAGAATTTGGAAGAAACGCCAGTCTTATCGTTTAAAACTTTGACATGTGTACGGTTAATATTGATTGATTGATTGTTTGTTTGCTTTGATTGGAGGTGTGCCAAAAACCAATTGGGTCGGCACCCACTGTACACATGTATTTTAAATAATTTGATCTGAACCAGCCGTGGCCAATAAATGCCAAACTTTAGAAATAAATAGTTAGGAAACAATAAATTCACTTTTGGTTTTTATAGGTAGTCTGTGATAAGTGCTTTTGAACTGCTAAAGCGCTAATGACTTCTGTGTCAGTGTTACGAAGCCATTCATGAATGACAGATTTCCAGATACACTGTATTATTAATGAAGAAAGTGAAATACAGGTCATGTACAACTACTGCTTTTCCGTGTTCACTTAACGAGACAAGGGTGCCATAGTAAGCATATTTAATGACGCACTATGAGGAAGAATTGGTCTTTCTAAAAAGAAAGACATTATTGTCACCTTTTGCAGTATATTTTGATATTATCTGCTGATTTATAATAAGAGGCATGCGTTTGCATACAAAAATATCCTCCATATCATCGAAAACGCTGTTAAAATATTTGTAATTCGGAAAAGATTGGCAGCCAAAAACATTTTAATTTTCTTTTCTACTTTAAATTTTAACGATCAAATTTTAACAGAGATATGGGGTATGTCAATTAGGAAATACCAGGAAGTGGGTTTTTTCTGTCTATGCTAGCCAACGAAGGTGGACATTTTACATTTAACCGAGATTGTAAGTTCTAAAAAAAAAAAAAAGGCTTAAGCCAAGTTTTTGTACTTCCTCATAATCTTTATCATATGTCTGCAATATATTGATCGTCATTTACACAAAGACAATTAATGAAGATTTTGATGGAAACGTTCGCCCAAACAGTTTTTTCAGTGATCTCGAGTTTCCTGTAGAGCGGCTAATTGTAGTCATCGATTTTTATTTATTTATTTTTATTATTATTATTATTATTTTTTTGCATTACTGATAAACTGCAGGTCTTCGGGTTTTACTATCTTTGCGCACACGTCCAAACACCCCATTTTAAAAGATTATTGTTTAGCTGCCCCGCGAAGATATTGGATTCTGCTCGTTACTATTGATGAGAATGGGAAAGCTTAGAGGAACAAAATTTGTCACAACACTCAAACAACAATCAAACAATACAATCAAACCAATAAAACTAAATACTTTCAATTACATGTATCTTTAATATTTGTCAAGATTAAGATAATACGTACAAAAATACAGATAGAGACAAGAAAGTGTCCTGGTATGAATTAGATATTGTTGGAACCCTAAGGTAGCATATAATTTAGATTAAACGTCAGACATTGAATTATATTGAATGTTGATCTACCTGCAAATAACATAAGCTCGCTGCATGTACACAGTAAAGTTCAGGCACAATTAAGGATAACTAGTCTGAGGTACGAAAAAGATTTGAATATTTACGAATAAGGTTGAAACATTTTAGTGATGTTGACAATGGTTCTGTCTACGGTAGGGATCGGTATCGCAAGAACATTTCATATCCCGAGGTATCAGGATTTTTCCTAAAATATTACACAAAATACATCATAATATCATGATATGTTTACATGCAATTTTGCCTATGATTTAAGCCGCTCGTGTGGCGCAGTGGTTAGGACGTCTGCTCTAGAGTCGCCAAGTAAGGTTCGAATCCACTCCGGACGTGGAGACCAGTCCTTCGGATGATACTGTATAAACCATGGTCACGTTTCGCAGTACTTAGGTGTTGGCAGGAAAAAGATCCTTCACTGCTCAATGTCCCTGAGTGCCAAGCATAGTTTAAATTTACAACCCTTCGCGGCAAGTGGTGGCGTCTCCATATGAGTGAAAAATTCTCGAGAGGGACGTTAAACAACATACAAATAAATAACTTTTGATTTTCAATAAATGTCCATAATCTTCTGACAAATACTGCGTGAAAACTTCATTTCTTTTAGCTTAAATTATAACGAGTGCAGCGACTTTAACTTGTAAGAACAGAGAAAATTCGAATTAATATCTGTACAATCGTCAAACAAATTTTTCTTTGCAACCTTTCAAGAATTCCTTTGCTACATTTACCAGGATTCCATGCGATAATGGCGATCGAGTAAACAGTCCCGCAATTATTATGTATCAAAATTTAGTTCTCACTGAGACCTTAGATTTAACGAAACAAAAAAATGCATCTACTCTACAGTGCCTTTCAATACAAAATTGCAGGTGGCCAGTTTAGACTCAGTTACGGAAATGCAAATTACATACGACATAATGTTACGTCACAGTTAGACTGTTTCGTGCGGTTTGAAGATTGAAAGGCAGATCAAAGTTTAAATTATTACCTAACCTACTATATAAATTGTAATTAGGCATTTTGAACTGTTTCCTGATTCTTTTTAATGTTTTTGCAAATCATGAAACAGTCAAAACTGTTTACCCGGTCACAGAATGAACTGTTGCATGGCTGAACTGTTCCATTATGACGTCATAGTTAATTTCCCGTACTTTACAGCTATAACATTGAATTATATATAAATTGAAGCATTTTCATTCAATTTGAAATTATCATCTGAAAAGTAAACCTGATACCA